AATGAACAAATATACACATTGTAGATCTTGTCGATTTCTACAAGATTACTCTTCGCACTTTTGTCCTAGGTCGCGTCTTTTTCGAGATAAACGAGAAAACCACATTAATCGGCGATCTCTTTGAAAAATTGAGTCTAACGTAGTTGAGACAGAGAACAAACTTGTAGATCTCGTCGATTTCTATAAGATTTACTATTGCACATTTGTTTTAGAACGCGGTATTTTCAAGAAAAACACGAAAAACAAATTAAAAGATGATATGTCCGAGACGGTGAATTTACGCAGATGGGGCAAAGTATGAACTTGTAGATCTCGTCGATTTCTACAAGATTGCACTTTTGCACCTTTACCCTACGACGCATTCTTTTCGAAATAAATACAAAAAATCAATTAAACGGCGATATCTAAAATTTTGTAAAAAATTACTTATCTTTCCTATTGATAAACTTATTAGAAAATTAAAGAGCACGTTTAGAAACATGGGAAAACAATGAATTTACTTTGTTTTATTTCTTGTTTATTTTTATTATTCATGTTATATATGTATATTTGTTCATTTTTGTGTATAGAAACAAAAAAACATGTTTTTATTTACGATAAACAATTTAAAGACATAGTGTGATTTTACATCGTTTAACCACACAAAAATAATTTCAAATTAATCCTAACTCGCTTAATTAAATATTTCCCCTAATTGTATATAATTTAATAAAATAATTGATTTAGTTCCAATCTAATCATTTTAACTTTATCTTTGTAATGTTTTAGTGCATATTCACTAAAAATTAAAAAATTGCCCTTTGCATCTTTGCTCTATATCGCGTCTTTTTCGAGGTGAATCTGAAAAACCACATTAAACGGAGATATCTCCGAAACGGTAAGGCTTACGTAGTTGGGACATAGGATCTAAAAACATTTATAATCGAAATAATTGAACAAAGGCCTTTTTTCGAGCAAATTTTTTGACAATTAATTTATTATTGAAATATCATACACTGCGGAACGTGAAGATAACATAAGTAAATGTTCGAAACGTTCCGCAGTGTATGATATTTTAACAATAAATTAATTGTGAAAAAATTTGCTCAAAAAAAAGATCTTTGTTCAATTATTTTGATTATATATATTATTATTATTCGAGCCAATCTTTTTTTGTATTATATAATTGTCATCTTAAAAATATTATTCGTGGATAAAATATTAAATAACAACAAAATCTTCATAGAAGAAAAAACACGAGTATATTAAAAAATTCGACAATGTATGCAAATGTGCTTTGTAAAAATTTTTCTAAATTCGAAAATAAAATTTAAATATCTTAACATTTTATATCGTATTTTAATTAATTATTGAAAATAATTAAAATACGATGTAAAATGTGACAACGCCGCAAAAATTTTTCATTTATTGGAAATTGGCAGCAATTTTTTCCAATTATGTCAGAATTGTCGGAAGTCAGGTGTCGGCTGTCAGATACGACTGAGGTTAATGATGAAACTCAATGTGAAAATCTCGTTACTGGAAGACGTATTATTATTAATATTTCAACTCTTGCCAAAGGCCTTTGGTGTTGTTCTTGTAAAAAATATATTTCTCTTGATTTTATTAAGAAAGAAATACGAGAGGCAAATATGCAGTGTTTTATCATCGATATTGCGTTAAACCGATAATCACAGTTATTTTTTAATAATAATTTCCAAAGCTAGTAAATCGTTTTAAAATTGTGGGAACATTTTTACATCTATGAAGAATATAATATTACAAAATCAAATTTTTATCATTGTTTTTTCATAGTTCGTGAATAATTTAATACCTGTTTTTTAAACGTTTACATAGATCCTATGTTAAAATCGCAAAATTCAAAAATTAATAACTTTTAAAGGAGTAAGAAGTAAAAAAATTTGAAATAATTCATGACGATTTAGAACGTTATTAAGAATTTAATTGAAAATTTACGGCAATCCAATACATCCTTAAAATGAGAACGTTTTATACTTTTGCCACTTGTTTCGTAGCGAATATTTGAATCGAACAGTCAAATCTTCATTCTTGTATAAAGTTCTGCATAAAATATCTTACTTGATTGACACATTAACATTTTTTTATTTTATAGTATATGCAAATGTTATTGAAAGATATAAACACATATATTGCAATTTCTCGCAGGATATAATATGACCTTAAATTTTCAGTAATTTATTAATATTAAACAATATGGTTTCTTCTCTATAAAAGTAATCAATTCCGAAAGCATATATGATATATTGTAAAGATTGTAAAATTGCAAAGATTAGCACCGATTAATTAATTAATTTTGTAACACGTACCGTGGACGCAAAAAGATTCTATCTTGATGTCCCTTTTTGTAAGCGATAGAATAAAGCCAGAAAATAATGTAAGTTAATCTCGTCTCATAAGTTTTCTACATATTTATTTAAAGTGATTAAGAGATTAGCCAGTTAACCGCGTGTAGACGAAAAATTGTATATTATGAAATGGTGTTATAACTGTTTGCCTATTTTCCTTTTTTTATTTCGTCCACGCGATTAACTGGATTTGTCTCAAGTATTGTAAAAGATTAGGGATATGTGCTGAGAATTCTCAGTAAATAAAATTTAACAACTAAACTTCTAAAGATACACTTGACATTATATCGACATCAGGAAACTGTATTCTAAAAATATTTTTCAGCTCATCAGATAGTTCACAGTATTTGAACGATATGAAGATCTAAGCTGATACATCATTATTCAGATTTCTGCAAAAACTTTGAATTTAACCATCCCTTTTATGAATAAAAATGTTTGCGCAGTAAAAGACCAACGCGTATCGTTGAACACTAAATTGTATATGTCTTGTGCCTTATAGATGTTTATTAAAATTTTTTAAATGTATTTATTTTTTTGTAGCACAAGTAAGAATATCGAGATAATATTTGTCGATCCTTTTTGTTTTGCAAATCTATGATGCGTAACATTTATGTGTAATAAAAATAATTTGTCATATATAAATATTGATTATAATAAAAAAAAAGTTGTTTGATACATTAATCAAACTTTAACTGTAGACTTTATTATTTAAAATGTTATATACAATAAGAATAATCGATATACACACTTATATATGCAGAATTACCGAAAACTGAATATTTTATAAGATACTTTACATTTTATGTCAAAAAGTTGTTAGCTTCAAACCTTTATAATTCAAAGAGTACTCTATGAAAAAATACTTTATTATAGGGATTTGGAAAGCTCTTGAGATAACCTACAAGAATATGTAATGAAAAATAGGTAGATTCACTTAAGAAATTGAAGATGACCTTTACGTGACCTTCAAATGATTCTTCAAGGTTAAATCAATAACACTATCTTATGTCTCCCTTCGAGTCAAACAACTTTCATCTGAAACAATTTTTTTATATCTTTTATAGTAGTCGAGATATTTGCGTGGAACATTTAAAATAGGACACCCTGTATATAAAAATACAATATATATTTAAAATTAAAATATACTTTCGCATCGATCAGTACATAATTAAGATATATAATAAAATGTGCAGTATTTGTCGAATTATATGGTTTAATATAATTTAATTAAATAATTTTGACAAAAAATTAATATATTACAATCTTTGTTTTTCACAAGTTTCAAAAATAAAAATTATTTTGATTTAATAATTAACTTAATGTAGCACGAATTTCGGTTCAAGAGTAGTGAAGCAGAAATATTTTATTTCTATTTCTTAATTATTTTATAAATAGATAAGTATACAAAACTGAATGTAGTGTACAAAACTGAAGATATAGAAAAAGGAGAGAAATAAACATTACATTTTTTCATACAATCTTTAGCTATTGTTTAAATCCAATTGAAATAATTGTTGTAATTAATTTTTACGTCGCAGTAATATAATTATTTTTACATAGACATTATTAGCGCAAAAGAAAACTTTGCTGTCATCATTTCAAATAATAATATAATTATTGGTATATGTTACATCGATAAATATTTAAAAATCTTTATGATAGTTTATGTTCTTTTTCTATTTGAGTTACATTAAATAATGAAGTTATATTAAATAATAAAAGTGGAAAAACATGTAAATTTAAGAGTTTATGAAAATAAATTATTCTTTTCATAGAGCACTCATTTTTGATAATATACTAAAATATATCAAAAATCTTACTTTTTATTATCAACATAATTGCGTGTATAATTTATTTAATTATGTGTTCATATTCTTAAAAGTAGATGCAATAATAAATCACAGATACACATGTTTCATAATTTACGTCTATAAATTATGCAGCGTTGTTACTTTAATGAAAAATTAAAAATTTTGAATTATTGTTTGTGGATGCTTAGTAAAGGAAAAATTATTAAATAAAAGTCACTACACCAAATCTTTTTACATAGACAATACATTTATAAGATATAGGTTTTTATAATATGTAACTATCAATCTCGCAGTTAACAAATAAATATCCTACTAATGAACATTGATCATATATTTTATTTCATAATTCCTGAATTCCTGTCTTGAGAATTGCAGAAAAATTATAATTAAAAATTGTTAGACTTATTTTTCATTAAAATCGCCTTATGTAATTGAAATTCTGAAGCATTTTATATATCAATTAAATTGAAAAAGTCTTTTGTATATTTTATTGCAGCGCATGATCTTGATGTGCAATGTTTTCGTCATTTATATTTTTGATGTAGAATAAGATAGAATACGAAGAAAACTAATATTTTTTAATATATGTATTTTACAAGCAAGATAATTTTTTACACTTATCTATTTTTCATTATTTAATTATTTTTGTATAATTGTTATAATGTTAATAGAAGTAATTAGAATACGAAGAAAACTAATATTTTTTAATATATATATTTTACAAGCAAGATAATTTTTTACACTTATCTATTTTTCATTATTGAATTATTTTTGTATAATTGTTATAATGTTAATAGAATTAATTATCCATTGTCACACCATTACAATCGATGGTGGCGATCTTGGTAGTGAAACTTCTATTCGAGAACTGTTCTTGTAAATGTTGGATTTCTATGTCTGTGAGATTTGGTCGTAACATAATGTATGCAAATCCGCCTTCAAAACCTGTAAGCTTTGCTCCGTATTCAAACTGACTTGCAATCTCCGAAATTGTATCAAAGTCCGGTTGCGACAAATTATATTCCCTCAACAATTGTTGATTTCTTATAATGTGTGACTGCAAAACACAAAAATGTTAATTATAAAATGTTATCAATTTCCGGCAAATAATTATGTATTGGAAAATCTTGTCAAGGCTAAAGAATATACAAGGTGCCTCATAGGAAACTGCTGAAATTAATTAGCTGTCATTTATTAATGCATGCAGTTTATTTTATTGATAAAATAATGAAAAAGTGCTAATAATCACATAAACTAATGATAAATATTTTTAACAGTGCCAAATTTAATAGCAACTATTAGAAGGATCGTCAATAACATTAAAAGTGACATGTTAAAAAAAGTTTTGACGAGTTTTCGTAAAAGAACAGAATTTTGTACAAATTTAAATGGTACATACTTCGAAAATATTTATCATTAGTTTACACATGTGATTATTAACACTTTTTTTATTACTTTTTCAATAAAATAAACTGATATACAAATATTTTATTTATATCCATTAAAAGCTGTAGACTTTCCTTTTTTCAACACAATTTTTGTTTTCTCAATAACTGCATGCATTAAAAAATGACAACTAATTAGTTTCAGCAATTTCCTATGGGATACCCTGTAATATATAATAAAATAATATCATTGTTAAATAAAAATAAAAAAAATACCTGTAAGTCCTGTAAGCATTCTGATGGACAATAGGATCTCCGATGTTACGAATATTGTCAATATATCTAAGTCTATTATATATTGTTGTTGCAACTTCATCTAATAAATTTATGAAAGTTTCAAAATCCGGATGTACAGAATTCAGCACTGCTATTTGTAGCGCTCGGTTCTTTTTATCTTGACGAATATTTGTTGCGATCACTAGCACCTTTAATACCGTTTTTAAATTTATGACATTTGTAAAAAAAGATTTATAATACGCACGTTGATAATTTCGTACTTGACCGTAAATGCAAGTTTCGGCATCGATCGCGGGAAATACATATTCTTGCATAAAATCTTCACAAGACTCAGTATAACGTTTAATCGTCTCCAAATCTTCATAGTTAAATCTAATGTGATCACCACTCTGTAGACACTTCCAATGAAGAAAACATCCTGCCAGACACGCAGCGAACGATGTCGAACTGCCAAGGCCAGACCCGAAAGGTATTTCAGTGGTCACCAACACCCGAAAAGGCGATCTTCTTTTGAGATTATAAGTCAAAGAATAAAATAGGTAAAAGAATATATGTAAGCTAAATCTCTGCTCAAATGTCTTCCACAAACCGTGCATAGTGATAAAGTATGTCACGTATCGAAGAAAATGGATTGGATTCGATCGAATTTCTGAGAGATCTGTGTTAAAGAAGTAGCTTTCAACAATTTCTAGAGGTATGTCCTTTTCTAAGTCAATCCGAGAGAAATTGATCGAAATAATTCTTTCAGATTCAGGCAGTTCCTGGAATTCGAGTCTGGTGCGAAGACTTAAGCCGGCCACAATCAAAGTTTTGTTATACGTCGCCGAGTGCTCTCCGGATAAGACGATTCTTCCTGGTGCGGAAATTTTAAAATTAGCCATTCCTTTATTCAATAAAAATATCTCTTCCTCACAAAACTGACGTAATATTGAATAGTTGAGAGTTGATAATATATATTAAAAATGTAAGGTCGCACTAATAAGAATTTTTGAAACGTTCGTTATCGCACACAAGAGCGTGTTTATATGTCCTGTACACACTTTCGCGTCTCACTTGTAACTGATTTCGTCTCGGACATATAATAACATCATGTCGAAGTCATGCTTTCCAATATGGACTACAATGTCAAACTTTTTCAATATTTTCGGAAGAAGGAAAATATATGTATGCCTAAATATAATCCAATATATATTATTTTCAATATCATAAATTAAAATAAAAAGCAAATTGAACCCCTTAGGCTAAAACGTTTATAATGTTAATCACTTAGATGTAAAATACTAGATTGAGTTCTGTCCTTGCTGTCGCAAGTGTCTTGTGTCAAGTTACCGATTTAACTAATATTATTTTTAATATGCGAGAGAAGTCGTGTGTTATGTGTCATTATAACTGCTATTATATTTTTAATCTCTATAAAAAGTCAATATTACAAAAAGGCCGAACATACAATGTTTTTAAATTATATTTCAGACAATTCGTCAAGAATATGAAAATATTTGCTATTGAAACATTCCGCATCTTTATTTAAATTGATATTATTTCTCCTCCTTAATATAAATCATTTCAGAAATGAGTAGCTCAAAAATAAATATAAAATCAAAGCTAATTATGAATGATATATTAATTTTGCAAATTATTATCTGATCTGATATAAAAATGATCAAAGAATCACTTTTATATTTTTAAGAAATACATACTTATTCTGTTTTGAAGAAAAAGTTCAACAAGTCTGTTAAACATCTATATATAGCTAAAAAAGCTAATAAAAAATCACGCTTGATGCAAGCAATTTAATAACATAAATTCTTATAATATGAGATTATTAAATGTGTTGGTAAAAATTAATAATTATTAATTTTTTAGTTATAACTTTTCATTTTTTTGTTGCAAGTGCGGACACATAAAAATCAATATGTTTAGTTTTGTTTTTTATAAAATTGTTAGAAATTATTTATGAACATTAATCAATTATAAATTAAATTAGAAATTATAAGCGCGCGCTTGTGTTGTCTAGTAATTTAAATAGTCTTATGGAAAGTATCAAAAGAAAACAATCATTAATAAATATAAAATAAAATTTTAAGAATCGCGATTCTAAGAATTACTAAAGATTCTCAGAATTATAAATTTTTACAAAGTTGAAAAAATGTTAGGAAAATATATTCCCTCTTTTTCTTTAAAGAGATACTAAAATAACAAATCAAAATTCTGAAAACAAATTTTACTAAACTCTTAACAATATAATCATTAAAGAGATACCATGAAAGAGATAGCAATTGTCAAAAAAATTAAACTATATCAAAAATCAAGAAAGTAATATGATTTCTTATACATATACATTTCTTATATGGTATATATATATATATATATATATATATATATATATTACTTGAGATTTTAGTTTTTTTTTATCGCTATACAACTTGCTTAATTAAGAGTAGAATGATGAAGAGGAAGATAAATCGTCGATTAGCTTTGGGCTTCGTTTTCATGATAAAGGTTTCCTCATCTTTCAACGTTTTTCTTTCTTAATGATTGAAACAGAGATCTCTTAAGAACTCTTAATGATTTCGCAAAGTAACAAAAACCTACCTCCTTATTTTTCTATCTCTCAAAATGATACTGCAACGAAACATTAGACCGAAGAAGAGACAAATCCAAAAACTGGCCGCGATTGTCAGAATCGCTTGTCAGACTTATTGAGATCGAAATGTATTTAAGAAATAATAAAAGTATTTATTTTTTATTTTATTAGAACTGAAAAATATTTTTCTTTTGATAAATTATTTATAATTACTAATCACATGCGTATATACACATATACATATATTTTTTGTATATTTTATAATAATAATTGTATATTTTATATTGTATTATATAATAGTTTATCTTACAGAATTTTAGAATAATAAGCGAAGATTAGCGGTTTTAATTAAAATCAGATAATAAGAAAATATATACTTAAAGAATATAAAATAAAAGCAAATAAGAATTAAAATCTATGTTGCATATTAATATGTTAATCTAATATGTATAATACATATAATCTGATGCAGTTGAAAATTACAGTGATACATAAAATTTTGTTTTATAAAATAAAATTATTTTATAAAAATTATTTATAAAAAATTTTATAGAATTTTAGAAAATGTTTTAATACACAAACTGAATTATGAAAGATGACTATCTCTTTGAATGGTTCACAATGTAGATTGAAATGTGTTGGACGATCATGGGCATATGGAAACATAATAAAAAAAGGAGATTGAACGATCTTAAAGGTACGTTTCCACTACGCTGATATTTCTATATCCAAAATACAAAAGAATAATTTAACAGAGAATAAACTTTTAGAGAAAAGTAAAAATATGGGCGTAAAAAATATTCTAATTCTTAAAAGTCTTTTATTAAGTTTTAAATATCCTTCTCGAGCGGTGCTAATATTATTAAGGTCTTATTGTGATCGCTGAACATTCTTAGGAGAGAAATTTTTCATTCTTAATTATTGATAAATATCGATCTATATATAATATATATAGGGTGTCCAATTGTAATTGGTTACACGATATGATAGCGCTACTGATTTTTTTGAAGCGCGCTTTTCAAGGTCATTCAAAGGTCACTTATGTTTTTTTTAAACAAAATTACAATTTTGTTATATTAATAAATCGATTCCTCGGAATTTTTGGCATAAAAAGTTATAAAGGTATATAAGATGGCAAAAAATGAATAACTTATGAGATATTTTATACTTAAATTTGGTATAAAATATTTTGTAAACTATTCATTTTTTGATTATCTAAAAGTACTTAAATTATGAAATATCTCGTAAAATATTAATTTCCTTTTGACAATTTTTCTCAAATACTTTTAAAAAATAATGAAAAGAAGAATCGATTAGCGCAAAGAAAACACATAAGTTGTAAAAAAGTACGTAGCGTTTAATTGTAAGTTATTAATTACATACTTTTTCTTACAATGTGTTTCTTAAAATTCGAAAAAATAAAGTTTGTGTTATACATATATGTATTTTATTAACTCTCGAATACATAATAAAAAAGTATTCTCGATTAAACTCTTTTTAAAATTTTTTAATTACTTATTTACATTTTGATTATAAATTTTAATTATATTTTACTTTTATCGTTGTAATAAAATATTACATAAGCGTTCTGTAAAATAATATCACACTTGCGAATGAAATAAGAAAATAATCATTTTTCTTCTGCGTAAACTTTGTATTATGTTCCTCAAAAGAAGAACAAATGCATTTAACGATTACAATCGTTGAAAGTTGAAAATAGATATCGCTAGCTTTAATAACTATACGTGTTTCGCGTAAACTTAAATAAGATAAAACGATATAAGTTCATTTATCATCATTAAGTTGAAGCGATTACAATGATAAAACTGCTCACGTAATGTCCTAAGGACGAGTTGTCACGCTAGAATGCGAGAATATGATAAAAAAAGTATTATGCCATGAGACTTTTCAGTTATATATTTAGATATATTTAAATATAAATAATTTAATGGTTTTTTAAATATGTGTGTAAACAAAAAAAAATAATTATATCAATTATGTAAAATATGATATATATTATAAAATATTAGTATTTAAAAAGAAGAGAAGAAGCATTAAATAAATTAGAATTTCACCAATTTTTAATAAATAATGAAAATATATGGATATATGTATATATCCAGATGATGGCAAATGATGCATTTTGACATCAAAATGATGTCATAATAATTACTGTGGCTATCTGGATATATATGTACATATATAACATACATTTACGTATTCACATACATATACATATATCAAAATTGACCATTATACGCTGCGCGAAAGAGATTTACGTGCCTTCTAATCGATTGGATCGTAAGCTTGGCGTTTATATGGAGGTCCTAAAAATGGCACAAGAAATCGCGAAAAAGCGCGCACGCAAACGCGAAAAGGGCGTTAATGGAGACGTACCTTAAAAGACGAGAAGAAAGACGCGAAGGACGATAAAGCGAACGGAAGAGAAGAGAGAAAGGAAGACAAAATGAAAGGAGAAAGATACAGAGGGAAAATGAAAGGGGATAACAACGAGCGGATGAAGAAAAAGGATGAGGAGGGAAGGGTAGAGGGGAGGGGGAAAGCGGAAGGCCGCCGACTGACAGGGAAGGACGATCGAGACACAGCGAATGAGATGAAATGTGTGAGAGAGATGGCAGGACTGACTGTTCTCTCCTCTTCTCTCTTGTGTGAATGAATTTTTTATCATCGAACAATTTTTTCAGATTTTAATACTCTGAAATGTCACTTATGTTATTTTACAGATTGACGTTCTTAATTATTTTACAACAATGTCATTTGGATGAAAAAGAAGAGATTTTTTTATATTTTCTTTTATAAATATATAGTAACAATTTATATTAGGGGTTAAGCTTAATATTTCAAATTAATGAGAGAGAAAGAGAGAGAGGTTTCTTTTAATAATACTATTACTATTATACTCAGTAGCGGATTCTTTTCCTTCCAAATTACAATAAAATCAATTATATTGATTTCATGATTTAAAGTCATCTATTAAAAATGTTTTAGGTAAAATAGTTAAAAATGACTCGAGGGCAATCATTTAAATAATAGAAAGAAAAAAATGAAAAAGTACGTAAAAAATATTTTTATAAATAATAAAAATATTTTAAAAAAATATAAAACAAAAAATAGTCAAAATAGGATTAGAAGTTTCATCGTCGTTGATTTTGAAATAAAAGCTGAGCATGATCAAAAGAAAATATATTACACTAAATAATTTTGCTGAAATCCCTCCTTATATCGACGTCATGATTCAAGAATCTGCCGGTGACCGTAATCATAATTTTTTTTTAAATACATTATCAGGCTTAATTTATAGGTGTATTAATTTGTTTATCGAAAAAGATAAATAAACTATAACTTTGTTTTTAAACAGTTTGTGCAAAATAAAATAAACTGTGAAGAAGTTCTGACAGACACGTGCTTCCTTTGTACATACACTTAGAGCCGGCCCTGGAAAAGGGAGAGCGACAGATCAGAAGGGGATGCCACGTCAGGTAGGGTGGCGAAACTGGAGAGTGGGAGAAGAATCGCGAATGAAAGAGAGAGATCAATGAGACTGCCTGAAAGTGG